CCAAAAGCCCTGAAACTGGAAAATATCGTCCAGGAGGAAATTCTAAGAGTCCATGACTCAACGAAATGTGAAAATGAATCCCATACGAAGATCCAGGCTCAAAACAAGGCATTGAGCAATAACTTTCATTAATTGCACAATGACCCCTCTAAAAAGTGAAAACTGTGAAACTGCCCCAGAATGAAAATATCTTCTAAAAGATATTTTCTTAGATACCCCTGAAATAAAATACCTTCAAAAGATATTTATGAAAAATACCCCAAGAAAAGAAAAAGTTTTCAAAGAACTTTGCATTTATGCCCCTATAGGCACCGGGAGCAACCAAAGTACTTTCTCACGAAAGTAAAGATACATATATCATAGAAATCATTAAGAATGAAGATACATGAAGTCAGAAACTAAATCCGAACACAAGAATTGTGGTTACGCAAACAGAGTGACAAACGAGGAAAAGACGAAAATAGGGAATAGTGTCGAAAAATGAAAAATGTGGGAATGACTCGGTCCCTAAAGGAAGTTGTCAATCCACAGAAAAGAGTCTCAGAAATCACTCCAGAGCACTCGAGACGACACTAATCGACAACAAACCAAACTCAGAAAGGAAAAGACAACGGAAAAAATTTATCCGAAAAATCCGGGTCATTACATAGAAACTCAAGCTCCAAGCTCCAAACTCAAATCCCACCAAAAGCTTGCAATACCTGAACAAAAATGTAGCCCTTGCAATGCTCTACAATTTGCTAACTCCGGCTTAACCCAAATCTTCATCTAGCATGAAGAAATTTTTGAGAGAAAAGAAAGAGCAATGTAGAGAGAAAAATAATATAGAGAAAGAGAACTTGTGGGGTGTCCGAAAATAGGGGGAAGAAGGAAAGAAATGGGCCAAATGGAGACACATCATTGTCTCTAGAATTCTCTAGGTGGATCCAAGAGTCAAAATGACAATAATGCCCTTTAATCTTCTTCATATTACCAACCATGTTATAAAATATCCTCCTCCAATCAATACCACTAATACAACATACATACATGTATAAATATACACTTACACATATGAAATGCCGATAACGCCCCTGGGGGCCCGCGTGGCACACAAAACGAGGCAAGGATTAAAATACTCCAAAAAAATCAAATAAATTCCAGAAATTAGAAAATAGGAAAAATCGGTAACGTTATAGACCGACTCTCGAATATCCCGAATCCTGGTGTTACACCAGACGATGCTGTTTTAAAAGATTAGAGCTTCTTAGCACGAGATGAAGGTAGGATCTTCGTGTTATAGGAATCCATGTTTGGGAAACTTAGGAGGATCTTGATAGTTGGTCTTCTTCTCCTCCTCCTACACTGAGCATCTCCTTCGTATTTGTATTCTTGATATTTCTATTTTATTACTGCTTTACTACCTAGTAAAAAAGAAACCCTTCATTTTGACGACTTCACTGGGGATATCAGTACAAGCAGATGAAATCACATGATATGCCAACTCACCATTCAGAGCCCTCTGTTGGAGGAGATGGTGACGTTCCTCTTCACTCCCAGGCACCATCACATGCTTCCAATGTTCGTGCACCACATATCACAATGCCGGAAAGCTCAGTAGCCCCTTCCGTCCATGAGGAGTTGTTGCAGTCCAACCGTGGTCTCAATGACCGCCTTGATAGGTTGGAAGCCTTGATCATGCAAAGTGCACGAGCCAGAACTGTTTCTCCCACTAAAGTGGCCCTTCCTAAGCATGATCAGCCAAGTAGTTTATCTACTCACGTGCCACCACTGTGGTATCCGCCGACGCAAGCCCAAGCAGCCCTAAACCCCAGCCCAGTTCAAGTGGTTCCACTGGCTAACCCTTCCCCAGAATATGTCACTGAGTCCATGCTATGTAATTTTTTCATGAAGCATGCCCCATCGGTTGCACGTGTGTTAGTTATGTGTACGGAACCTCCGCACCTAAAAAGCCTGGCCTAGACGCCGTACCCACAGGGGTATATCATCCCAAAATTTCCTAAATACGACAGCGTCAGAGAGGATGCTGATGAGCACTTGTAAAGATTCGTGGAATCTCTAGGCCAACATAGCCATGACGAAATCTTACGCCTTCAAGAATTCTCCAAGTCTCTCACCGGGCTCACGTACAAATGGTTTCGTAGTCTCGAGCCAGACTCGATCACCACTTAGCAACAACTCTCCCAGAAGTTCCATGACAAGTCACTCTCTCCCTCACTAAAGAAACGCAAGAATCCAACGAGGAGCCCCTCAAGTTCATTTCTCGCTTCCAGACCCATGCGAGGGAATGCTATGAGGGTAGCAGTGAAAGGGATCTAGTTGATATTTATATACCAGGCATGACTAAGGCCTACAGGATACACTTAGTCAATCTGGGTCTTAACAGCTTCAGCGATCTCACCATAGCTGTACGGAACATTTGTAAAGATCTCTCATTTCCCAGGGCTGAGGTCGCTGGACAGGTCACTCGCAAAGACACGCCGGTTGCTTCTCGCAATGACAAAGCGAAAAAGCGTCGTGAGACAGATGTTAGAGCCAAGGGATCTCGAGCTGAGCGAACAAATGATCCTCCCCCATTCCCGGTATGTATAGAAGAAGTCGCCAGTACTCTCGAACAGTGGATCAAGCATGGTGTAGTCGTGCTACCTGTTCCTCACAAAGAGCCAACTGCGCAGGATCGTGCGAGTCCAAATTTCTGTATCTTCCACCAAGCCACTACACATCCAATAGGTGCCTACAGGACTCTGACGCGAATTTTTTAACAACGGCTCGAGGGTGGTGATCTTCAGTTGACCGCGCAAAAGGATGTGTGGCACAACCCATACCCTCGTCATCGCGGTGTGGCTGTGATGACGTATTATGATGAGTTAGAAGAAACCAATCCCACGCAATCCAAGGTTCAAACGCAATACGGTGAGGAAGAATGCTGCGCAGCCGCTTTGTCAAGTCAACCCCCCTTTCACCAGGCGCCATTGACCATTTCCTTCTCCGAATCTAACAAAAGGGTCTTTACCCCTCAGAATCGTTTACTCAATGTCACTGCGCAACTCAATGGTAGGGAGTTCCTGCGTGCTTTTCTAGATAATGGGTCTTCCATCAACATCATGACATGGGCCACCTTTCAGAAAGCTGGTTTGCCCCAAGATCGCCTTGTCAAAGAGGCCATCGAAGTTTATGGTTTCGACAATAAATCCCACTAGACTCTCGGCTATGTAAATATTAATCTCGTAGTTGGTAGATTTCGAGCTCCCACCAAATTTCATGTCATCAAGGCTAATATATCCTACCATGTGCTCCTCGGGCGGGCGTGGATGCACCGTTTCGGTATAGTGGCTTCTACCTACCATTAATGTTTCAAGGGCATCTTGGGTAACAAAGTCGTCACGGTTCTGTACTCTAATAAGCCTTTTGCCAAGCACGAGGCATACTTTACTGAGGCTCTCTTCTTTGATGAGTTGGATGATGAGGATGAAGAAGCAGAGGGGCATATAATTCGTACTCCACTACCCAAATGGGAGGAGGTACAGCAGGGCATCTTTTACCCTCCACAGCCGTATGTTCCTCGTCGCGGCGCAGAAGTCGCTACCCCGCGGGAGTGCAAACGAGTAAGGTTGTCGGATGGGCGATATGTCTATCGCTTATGATGGTGTGTGGGCTCCGCCTTGGCGAGCCCAGTTGTTGAGCCTACGAGTGTAGAGGAGGAGCCACTGCAACTGCTGGATCTCGAGGAAGTCAATCTCGCCCCTGCAGGACAAGAACCACGGACAATCTTCATCTCCTCGCAACTAGACCCATCGTTGCGAGATGGTCTTATTTGCTTCTTGAAGGAATTCTCAGACGTCTTCGCATGGACCTATAACGAGTTGCTAGGACTAGACCCCCAGCTTGTGACACATTATCTCAGTACCATCCCAGGCTCGCGCCCTGTCAAACAAGCACCTCGCGTCTATAGACCTGAGCTTGAGCTTCAGATTAAGACAAAGGTTGAAAACTTGCTCCTTGTAGGATTCATTAGGCTAATCTTACATCCAACTTGGCTGGCAAATATTGGTCCCGTGAAGAAGAAGAACGTATAAATTTGGATCTGTGTCAATTTTCACGATCTCAACAAGGCATACTCGAAGGATGATTTCCCTCTTCCTATCTTTGACACGCTGGTTGATGCAACGGCCGGGCATTCACTTTTTTCCTTCATGGATGGGTACAGCATCTACAATCAAATACGGATGGCCTAGGGAGATGCCCACAAGACTGCGTTCCGGACTCCACTTGGCAATTTCCACTACACTGTCATGCCCTTCGGGTTAAAGAATGCTGGAGCCACATATCAAAGAGCCATGACTGCCATCTTTCACGATATATTGCATCACGCGATGGAAGACTATGTCGATAACTTGGTGGTGAAATCCAAACAGCGAGAGGCTCATCTCCACAATTTGCGTCGCATTTTTGAGCGATGCCGTGTGTACAATCTACGCATAAATCCCCTTAAGTGCGCGTTTGGGGTACGTCGCGGCAATTTTTTGGGCTTTTCGGTGTATCGCCAGGGGATCGACCTCGACCCCACCAAAGCTTGCGCAATTACAGATATGCCCCGCCCTTGCTCCTTCAAACAGCTCAAAAGTTTTTTGGGCAAAGTTTCGTATTTGCATAGGTTCATACCAGCTCTCGCCGAAGTCTCTCTTCCTTTTAGCACTTTGATCAAAGGCAATGCCAAATTTCTTTGGACAACGGCTTATCAAGCAGCCTTTGAGAAGATCAAGGCCAATCTTGCCTCCTCGACCACCATGCACCTACCTGTTAGGGAGCAGCCTTTGCTTCTTTATCTCACTTCAACTGACAAGTCTATTGGGGTCCTTCTCGCGTAAACAGTCGACGGGCAAGAACGACCATTCTATTATCTCAGTCGCCTTATACGCGAGGCTGAGGCTCGCTATTCAACCATCGAGCATCATTACCTCGCACTGGTTTTTACTGCACAGAATTTTAGACATTACTTCATGGCCCATCATGTCCATTTAATCACAAAGTGCGACCCATATAGACACCTCTTCTCTAAGCCAATCATCTCAGGGAAAGCGTCGCAATGGGTTTTAGCTCTCTCGGAGTTCGACTTTACCTGTTATGCACCGCAGGGTATTAAGAGCCAATCTTTAGCAGATTTGTTCGCACAGTTCCCCAAGCAAAGGCATGAGCCCCTCGACGAAACATTGCCCCTTTACGAGCTCCAGGTGGCTACCATTGAAGACAGTCACGGTGAATGGAAACTAGCTTTTGATGGGTCTTCCACTAGCACAGGAGGAGGGGCAGGCATTATTCTCACCTCGCCAACTCAGCATGTCACTGCGGCTTTCAAGCTAGCCTTTCGTTGTTCTAACAATGAAGCTGAGTATGAAGCACTTATTCTTGGCCTCCTCGCAGCCCTCGACAAAGGCATCTCACGATTATGCATGTGCGGGGATTCCAAGTTAGTTGTTAAACAGGTGATGGGTGAGTCTGCTGTACCTGAGCCTTCACTCTCATCTTATCGTACCATTATTCAAAAGCTCCTCGCTAGATTCTCCTCCGTTCGTTTCTTGCATGTACCTCGTTCCAATAATAGGTACCCCGATGCACTCGTAATGTTAGCTTCTAAGCTGACCATTATAAATGACATGACTGAGATCCGTATTACAAAACACATTGGTCCAGCTACCATCGCTGAGCTTTTCCTGACCCAAACTGTTCCGGACAATGATTGGCGAGCCCCAATCATTAGTCAGCTCAAACAGCGGACAGGGTCAGTACCCCTCACACAATTGAAATCACTCCAGCTCTTAGAGGGATTACTCTACTTTCACCTGCCATGCGGAACGTTAGCCAGATGTTTGGGCCCTCGCGATACTAAAGCAACTCTCACAGCAACTCACGAGCAGCACTGTGCTATACCTTTGGTGTTGTACCGGCGACTCTAGCGTTAGGGATATTTTTGGCCAGATATGGTAGCTCAGGCCAATACCTTACAGTGCACCTGCCCGCGATGTCAGGCTGTAATGGATAAGACCGAATCTTGTATTCTCGAGATGGTTGATTGGCGTCGCCTGTTCATTGATTTCCTTACGCATGGTACCCTCCAGACGATAAACAAGCTGCTGTAAAGCTCAAGAGGAAGTCCGCACGATTCGAGATTCGGAAAGGTGAACTCTTTCGTCGAACCCTCAATGGTACATATCTGCGATGTTTGTCGAACCCTCAATGGTACGTATCTACGATGTTTATCTCACAATGACGCCAAGGAAGCTCTCAAGGAGGCTTACCAGTTGGAGCATCAAGGCTCACGTAAGCTTTTCGCGTATTTGTTACAAAAGGGAATTTATTGGCCTACTCTGGAGCGCGATGCCAAGTCTCATGTACAAAAATGTCGACCCTGTTAACATCATCATCATCAGATCCATACGCCAGCTACACCCCTCCATCCTATTGAAGTCCCTTAGCTGTTTCACACAAGGGGGCTGGATCTTATCAGGCCAATCCATCCACCAGTGCGAGGTCACATGTGGATTCTTGTTGCAAAAGAGTACTTCACTAAATGGATTGAGGCGATCCCCCTCAAGTACGCCACTGGTGGGGCCGTCGCGGCTTTCATACAAGAGAATATCATTTGCCGCTTCGGAATCCCTCACTGCCTTCTCACTGACAATGGTACTCATTTCATTAATCATAAAGTCAAGCGATTGCTCAGGCAGTACAATGTCCAGCATAAGCGTTCCTCGCCATATTACCTTATAAGGTAATGGCCAAGCAGAGGCTTCAAACAAGAATCTCATTCGAATCTTAAGTCGAACACTTAAAGAAAAGTCTAGCATATGGGTAGAGCAATTGCCTCTAGCACTCTGGGCATTCGCAATTCCGCCAAACGCTCCACCGGTCAAACTCCGTTCTCTCTTGTCTATGGAACGGAGGCTGTTTGGACCATTGATATTGTAGTCCCTACAGTTAGAAGCCCTCGATGAGCGACGCGAGGTAGCCCTGCAACACCTTCAACAGTACCAGCACAACATAGCGCGATCATATAACAAGCATGTCCAACCTCGATAGTTCCAACCAGGCCAGCTCGTTCTTAAAGCTGCTCCACACATTATGCGTGGTCTCTCAGTACATAAGTTCTCACCTAATTGGGAGGACCCCTATATCGTTAAGACATCTAGCGATAATGGTTATTGCATACTCGAGGGCTCTGATCATAGCCCCATTAATAATGTCTAGCTCAAGTCTTACTTTTGTTAAACTTGGCTATCCTGAATGAAAATTACTGGTTTTATTCAGCTTGGTGCATGACTCGAGTTCTCCTAAAAATAAAAAATAAAAAATAAATAAACCAAGAGTGGAATAATCACAAATTTTTTTTTTTTTTTTTTTTTTTTCTCATTCAAGGTTGTTTGATTACAATTGTGGAGTCCTTGACTCATGTTTACATCAATAATCAAAAGAGCAACCTATAAGTCTAATCCATATATGATGACAGCAGCGAGTAATCATCATCGAGCTCTCGTGCGTACGCTGTCAATACTGCCAAGTTTTCTGGCTTTTGTGCGAGCTCCCCTTCCAATTTGTCAATACGAGCTCATACTTCTTGAAGGCGTGGTGCGAGCAGTCGCTGCTGCAAACATTTCTCAGCCACATATAATCATTTTTCGCAGCAATGAAACTAGAACTTCAAGCCTTTGAACATCATCCAATAAGAGTGTCGCCTCCTTGATGAGGTTTTCATTGGTCGCGCCCTGCTCGATTTCTGCAAAAACCTCCAAAATTTTGCCAAGGCATAGGTACATTGATTGCTGCATATATGCATGGCACGGTGACAAAAATTGCGAAACCTTGGGATGATGTGCAAAGGCTGCCTCGAGGAGTTGTACATAGGCACGGGGGAATGGCATACCCATCCACTCCGCCTCTGCATTCGCAGTTGGTGGCCCTACGCCACTCACAGCAAGTTGCTCAGACCCCAAGGTTGGCTCGCCAAGAGGGCGAGGAGTCCGTTTTACTGTAGTTTGCTCAACTATGGGAACCATGGACAACCTCTCTGGGGTAGCCGTGGCATTCACCACAGTGGTCTCCGCTTGTGGCATCGGGAGGACTGGTGAAGGGTGCAACTCCGTCAAAGGAGAAGATTGAACCCTCTCCTCTTGCAAAGTCTCCTCACTTACCAGAGAGGCCTGTTCTATCTCCTGTGTCTCTAACAGTGAGGCTTATGGGTCTCGATTAAAGGCCTCGCCCCTTTCGGAGGAGGCGTGCTTTCCCATATGTTCGTCTCTCGGTTGTGAGGGCTCTCGTATTTCCATGAGCGAGCTCAAATTATCTCTGTATTATCTCGTTGGGCCACCTTTACATTTTCGCCCCTGGGTGACCTAGCTGCAACATCGCTTGAACGATTTGTCACTTCAGGGTTTAGGGATTCTGACCCATTCTTAGCCCCTATTTGGGTATCGTCTCGAGATGTATCTTCCCCCTCTTGGGGAAGTACTGTATCTTCGGTAATGTCAGCGCTCGCTTGAGGTGGCGCTGTAACACTTACATACCCTCGCATCATCTCTGCCACCTCAGCGGCATGCGTACGCACAGGCATATCTAGAACGGTGATAAGAGGCGAGACATCCAGCGCTAGCTCTTCCATTGCTTCCTCCTTCACCCCCGCTGAAGTATCCTCCTGGCCATAACAATACAGGGCACTCTCACCTAAAGCTATTATAAAGTTAAAAGTAGGTAAATTTGGAAATTCACTATCAGAACCTAGTACATCGCCTGAGCTTATATCATGGACAGTGGTGTCAATTCCACCATCTCACACCCGGTGAAGCCTGCGCCACCCTCCTTGCCCTAGCCCAAAGGCTGCAGCCATCGATCCATGCTCTCCAACGAGAGGCTGTTCGCCATCATCTTCAGAAGTGGTTGTATCTTCACTCTTAATTGGTTCATCCACGAGTGGGATTCTGCTTGCGGAGGCCATGGGTCGAGATGTACTTGGCGCTAGAGGCCTTACCCTCTCCTCCCTCACACTAGCAATGGTTGGCTTTGCAGTACTTACAGCTGCTTGTTTACTGGGGGAAGGGCAAGGTTTGCGTATGAAGTGGCCCTTGTCTTGCGCCTACGGACAGGCGCTGGGGCTGCCTCAACGACAGGATTAGTAATCGCCACGACAGGTTGCGAGGTTTCCCCTTGTTGTGTTGCGGTGGGTGCAGGATCAGGCGCAAAGCTACAGAGGTCCCCCCTATCAAATTCTATTGGAGGCCTTAGTGAATGGTCCCCTGAATAAATCACCAATGCCTTCGCACGATGGGCAGGACTCTGACAAAAATCTTTCCAACTCGCTAACTCTATTGCCCATAGCGAGCGAGCTGTCTCTGTACATCTTGGGACCCTGCCTCTTCCTGGCAGGAAGACAGCGCCAATTCCTTCACGGAGTAGCCTAATGTGAGCCGCTACAAATCTCGCGAAGCTACTCTCGTAAGATTCCTCGCCCTCCACAAAGATGTATTGCTAGGGTACCCCCCTATTGTAGCCAAATTGCAGAGGGACTCTGTGAGGGTTATACGTCTTTGCTATTTGGCCCCCTTCCCATATCGCGGGCAAGTAGCTAGGGGTGCTCATCAACAAAACACCAACACTTCGCTCGCATTCAAGCGATGAGCACCCGCTGGAATGTGCTCATTATCATCAAAATACATGGGCAGAGTTTTAGCCCCAGGCAGGTCCACCGCATAAGGGCGACTAATGACTTGGAAGCTTTGATCTAAGGCACATCCTAGTCGTCCTTGCGGCGACCGACCATGCCATTTCATGCCTCGCACCACCTCCTCGTGCACAGCCAAGTCTGCTGGGATGGGAGCATAAAATTGGAACCTTTCGTACAGTAACATTTGTAGAAAGATGGTAGACGCGTATGACCAATGGACATAGCGCCCCATATACCGTCCCATGTCTTCCCACACTATATCGAGACGGTGGTACAATGTTCCCAAAAAGAGAGGTGCAAGGGCCACTTTCACACCACTCGCCAGCTCCACCGCCAGATCCACAAGTCGTGGCTGCGGAGCATCCTTCGGAGTCCCCTCGAAAAGATATATCGATAACCAACATAGTAAGTAGGCCGTAAAATTGGAAGAATGATCAGCCCAGGGACCTAGAATCCCTTTTCTTCCCTCCTCTGAGAGATTCTTTTTTGTCATTGGGAAGTCCTTAAAATAGTATCGCACCAACGCCCCAAGAGCGGCCTTGCGCGTACCCTTGCCTCACTCAGCATAGCAAATACCCTGTGCGCCCCACAACGACCTAAAATCTTTGGTTTTCTCCAGAGCCGTCTTGAGATCATGAGCCAAAGTCTCTTCAGCTTGCATAAACTCCCAAGAGCCAAGATTCTCTACCCCTTGAAAAGGTAGACCTAGCAACTGGCTCATATCCTCAATAGTGGGAGTAAACTCTCCTCACGCATAAATGAAAGTGTGCGAGCTTGAGCTCTATCGCGAAGTTAATTCCCATAAACCTGTAGTGTCGCGAGGAATGTGTATTTGGCAAAACAGCTTAATACACAGTGTCAAGCTCACTGCATCCAAGATTGCCTCGTACTCCGGGTTTACAAGGTTCGCGTCCGCCATTTTTCCCAACTATGGGTCGGACTTATATGAATATTGAAGTTCATATAGGACCATGGATATTGCCCTTGCTCGACCCCAAATAGCAGGATCGTATCCGCAGGGATGCGAAGAGCCAGGTTCATTTTAACTTCCTCCTCTATCAATTCAACCACTTCAAGCGGTTCGCCGGCGACCATAGCCTTGCTCCCAGTGCCAGAACAAGTCACTTTTTCCAAAAAAAAATGGTGCACATCGCCATTCCGAATCTACTGGCACCTTTGGCGGAGGGCAATCTTTTTTGCATAACTCTTGTTTCTTGCTAACCATGGTGGCAGTCCCTTCCA